TGATTTTTGCTATTTTTTTTTGCACAAATGATCTTTGAATGAAGACTTAATGGACAATTCAGATCGTTGAAACAGACCCTACAAGGTGTCCCTCAAATATCCCTCAATAGAAGTGGATTGTTAGAAATATATACTTATAGTTATTTTAATCTTGAGTTTTAATTTACGTTCTTCTTTTAAACTTGTGTGTAGTTGTCAATAGTTTTTGTTTTGGTAAAAAAAATTTGCTATAGTAAAATATGGTACACACAACCTACCCACTGATCGAAATGAAGCCCTCAGGTGTTTGTTTGTCTTCCCCCAAAAACAATAACCAATTATAAACCCTTGTTGTTTCTCTCAGCAGTTTCAGCCATGGACGCAGTGCAACTCTCTACAAACTTAACCCTTGCCACCCCCATGCCACAACTACAAGACCAAGTTCAAGACAAATTTCAAGACCAAGTTCAAGACCAAGTTTCAACAACATTGGCTTTATGTGATCCATCTTGGACCACACTGAACAAAACAGAAGAGGAAGAAGGCTCAGCTTCTTCTACCCCAGCACATGAAAACATCTGTACAATAATGCAGAATGTCATAGAAGAAGAGCTGAAAAGAAGAGCAGTGGCTGCCCAGATTTCCAGGCTGCTCACAGTTTGCAGCTACAATCAGATACTTCATGGCATGTGGAGGGTGCCAGCAAACCCGAGCCCATTTCGCGATGTTTGGGAGATTAGGAAGACGCTGACCACAAGCGATGTTGGACAAAATGTGAGCAGGACCAGCAGCAGGCTGCTGCTGAACACACATATGGTCAAGAAAAGTCTCCTGCCCTACTGGAGTTCTCGACTTATTAATCGAGTCGAAAGCCAAGAGGGAGCTGCAGTTACAATCTACGATTGTAACACAAGCTCCCAGCATCACTTGACTTTCAAGTATTGGAAGAGCTCAAGGACATATGTTTTGATAAAAAAATGGAACAGAGAATTTGTGAGGAGGAGGCAGTTGAACGCTGGCGATGAAATTGGATTTTTCTGGGATGTTCACAGGTTGATGCTCATGTTTTCTGTGCTTGGACGCGCAGGGCACCAACTGCCTTCTTTTGCTTGAACAAGCAGAGAACATTTTTAAGGAACTTTTTTTAGTTTTTAGCAGGCTTTTGTTATTGATCAAACATTGGCATATGTTCTGGATTTTTGAACTGTTTGAGGCTTAGTTTTCTTGGTTTCTTAATTTGCTTATCAGAAACTTTCTTATGTTATATATGTTGCTCATTTGAACCACATATTTTAGCACTTATGAGTATTCAAACAATGTGTTTGGGTTGTGTCATGATATGTTTTACTGCACTTGAGTTTTCGATTTACCGGAAAGAATTCAGAGTCGGGAGGGTGCCGGAATTAGAGTCATCTAAAAGGAGAGGTTAGTAAGCCAGTGCCACAAGGAACTTTAGGGGGCGTTTGGTATCCTATTCAAATAGGGAACT